ACAAATAAGGAATCCTACTTCGCGGAATTTCATTTATCACGGTAGGGTCTAGAACCGATTAACCGCGATAAACGAGGGTTCACTGTACCATGATCTTGGACTTCTTTCTGGTGGGCACCTATGAATAACATCTCCATCAATGGGATAGTCTAGGATAACCCTTGGAATAGCTGTAACGTCTGTTAATTTACATTCATTCTTGATGCTGATCACCTATTGAGAACTTTTCCCCTCAAATCACCACTTTTATGCAATCTTTTTAGTTATTCCTGAATGTTCTACTCCGTTAAGGAGGAAGAAATTCTGAGGAAATAAGAACTTTAGTGGTCCTGGCCATGAACATCAAAGAACTCATCTCTATTAAAGCATGAGTTGTCAAGAGAGAATGAGATTAAATTAACATAGATACAGAAGACTAGTTTAATACTCAGATGTGGGCAACTGGTTTCTCAGCTTGGGTATTTTATGCAAACCCTATATGATTACATTAAAAAATCCTACCCACTTCTGTAACATGGGCTCATAGACTACAAAAGGGACTCTCAAATTCCAAATATCCCCACGATGGAAAGGACCTTATACATTCATGCTTCCAATCCCACAGTCATTAATAGCTTGGAAAGACCAGTGGGATACCAATCTAGAGTGAATCCATTCTACCAGGCATAATCTGAAATTAATGAGATAAATAAAGGACAATAATTGGACCTGTGAGCCATTGGAGGACCTACGAGTACTCTTTAAAAAGACCAGATGAGTATAATGTGTACAACGATTCCTTTCTTAGTGCTTTGTATTTTGTTTACATCAACTGACTCCATTTGTCTCACTACAGTCAGCAATTAATGTGCTGGCTAACACCTCTTATAGCAATCCATTTTGGACAGGCTGGTCTGGGAAATGATGGTCCACTCCCTTGCAGCTTTAATGTATTACTCAACCTTTTCTTGATATCAGGATTAATGTATTACCCAACCTTTTCTTGATATCATGATATACACATATCTATGACAAAGAAGGGTCTCATCCATCCTGTTGTAGAACTGGTTTATACTGTCCTTGTCCTTAAAGCCCATGTTCCCTTTTGTCTCCTTTCTTCTGCCTACACTAATGGGTATACGTTGGAGCCCCATGTTATTCCTCTTGCAAGATTATAGGAGACATGCATCTTGCCAACAGGAAAATTTCCCTCCTCTCAGATCCTCCTTCAGGAATCAACTGCTTCTTCCCTCCCCCAAAACTTCCATATCTCAGAGACTAAATTACATGGGAGGCCTCTGCAATGCAAACATTTATTCCAAATGGTAAATAATAACTGGGCAGGCATAAGAACAAGTCATTCTTCTTTTATTTCTCATAGCTCTAAAGAAAAAGCTTTCGTTGACATTGATAGGAAGCTTAGAAAGAAGGGAGTTATCCCTTTCAAAGGCCTATCAATCAGCAAGAAATGGCTAGCCATGCCCATAAATGAAGAGTTTTCTTCTTAAACATCAGGCACATGTTAGAAATCCGTGGAAAGAGATATAGGCAATAAAGGACCCAAAACTTGGGCATGTACAGTAAAGACTCAAAGCTTGAGCATGTGTATTGAGGACCAGAAACTTTGTAATATCTCTCTCTCTCTCTCTTTCTCTCTCTCTCTCTCTCACTCTCTCTCTCTCTCTCTCTCTCTCTCACACAC